ATACATGTATTAGTTGGAAATGGTCATCATTCATACAGTAATCATAGTACACTTTAGGTTCCTTTCACATTGCAGAGGTATCGCTCTAATATTGACACTCATCATAATACTCATCGAAGCATCGCATACGGAATCTACAAGGAATACTGTCATCATGATTATAACCGTAAGTCGAACATGATTCCAAATTATGTTTATAATTTTTCTATGTTTTTCCATTTGGTTTTCAGAAATTACATTCCACTGAATCTTCAATGGTATTTACTTTAATATAAAGCGATTCGATAATCAGACTGATGTAACTTAGTTAGAACCATCAATCACATTGCATTCGCGATAACATCAATGAACAGAAACGGGTCTAAGCATGAACCTTTTTTTCAAGAAAATGGAGAATAGTATTATTTTCGCTATGCTGTGTATTAGTGACAGTTGGAAATTTCTGCAGCATGTTAATTATATTCTGCAGTAAAAATGATACGTATGGAGTAAGTATTTTTGAAGCAATAAATCAAAAGTGATAAGTGATTTGATATAATAGAATTATTTTGAATATTTTCTTACAGCTGACCATCGTGAAATAAACACAAAAATAAAAAATGTATATACGCTTTAACGATCGCTTACGTTAAATCATCTGAACTAGCCATATTTTTAGTATTTTGTACAACTGACTGTATTTGAGGATTTATGATATATGACCATACAGACACGAGTCAGTATTCCTTATATTGTACAAAAACCAGTGATTATTTTCCATCTGCTCGATTGCTGTCATTATTTCATAAATTCATCAGAGTCCGAATATCGTGATTACAGCAGAAATACTGAATAGTACAGTCGAATGAATGGAAGTCAGCTAAACCTTTGTCAAAGCAATTCTCAGCTACAACAACAGAAGTTGCATAATATGCATATACTGAACGTCATATGAATTGAGCTTTCACTTCAAACACATGACAATTTTTACATTCTTATCAGTTTGCGTATTTGTTAATTATTACTGTTAAGGAATGCAAATACTCAAATACTCACATGACCATTTAAAATGAAACTTTTTTCTTTTTCGTTTATTCCAGACTGTATTTTCTTCTTTTTTGGGCAAAAAGTTTGCGAAAAATATATCATTGTAAGTTTCTGGTGAACGATGGAATTTCGATACATATATATATATATATATAAATCGCGAATTGTCCTCAAGCATAGACATAAACGTATCGTAAGTCATAACAAATCAGACTTCGTAGGATAATTATGATTGTCATCTCATAACCAACCGTTATGGAAAAATTACGGCGATTAAAATTGATGCATGCTAAATTTATCTGTCATGCGTGAATACTCTAAATAAATTAGTGTTTAGTCATTTATATACAGTTGAATGTACGGAAGGATTACGCGAACTATTTTGCAGTTTTTTGTGCAGACAATAATATTTGTACATTCACGATATAATTGCTGCGAAATGGAAGCGACCATTTCTTGTACTGAAGGAAGACTGACGATTATGTTCTCTCTGCACTGTTGCTGTCATCGTTTTATCAACTTTTTGACGTACAATATCTTTGTTTATTTCGCCAACGTACTTGATTTTGTCTCAGATTAGTTGATTGAATAAATAATTCAACTTATCTGCGATCGCCCATTTCCAAGGTTTAAATCATGGTTATATGATAGTCATTGTACATTTACTCGATCCTTTAATTATTTACATCAATATGACTGGATAGTTAAAACTTTGAGCCAGCTGAATTTCTTGTCGAAAATAATATTATTTTGTCCATGACGAGTAGCTGTTATATCTGAAAGCTGTATATTCTGGAAAAATGCTCCTGTATAACAACAAAGGCTGTCTATTGAGATCGGAATAATTTATCACTTTTCTTTTCTAGATTGGACTTGGACTACTCTTACAGTGAATGAATTATTAGGAACAGTTTTCTTTTGTTCATATTCATATTCAAACTAACGTTGTTTAGGTATATGTGACTTGCAAAAGTCTCTATGAGTCTGGTTTACATGTGCAAGAATATGTGTTTATGTCAGTCTCGCGCAAATGTTACACTCAAAACTGCGTTAAAAAAACCAAAACAAATAAAAGTAAACAGGTCTGTTCACTAAAGAGGAAAAGCAGGTACTTGGATTGAACGTGGCACTGCCTATAAATCTGTCAACATCTAATTTCCGGTCACTAAATGTTATTATGAACTATCTACGACTCACGATTTCCATATTGGAAGCATATACGCTTTATATTATTGCACAATATGATTTTCTAAAACATGTAAACACTACAATCGCTTAGTACCATGATGTGCTTTCGATATTTATCATCGCACCTGATCAAAGATAAGAACCAGTGTCGCAATCTCACGCACATGTTTCAAATGTGAACCAGTGTCCAGATTCTTTTTCATTTAACTCAGCTGAATACAAACTCATCAATTTTGCGACATTTATCACCATTATAGTGACTTAGTCTACACTGAAACTTGACTAACGTTAATCTGAAAATTCGGTTTATGTTATTGTTCAAAATACCACCGGAGCCGGCCAGTAAATTTGGCTGTACTTCTTGGATCCTTAATGCAGGTAGACAAGTTGTTTTACGATCAGGACTATCGTAAAAACCTTTGGGACGTAGTAGATACAGGTGACGAAGTTTTTGTCGAATCACTGGCAATATCGTGTCTAAAGCTACGATGCCTCGGCTCCGTGCTGCGAATGTCTCGATCATACATTTCTATGTATTGCGATAGCTAATGATTAACTTGGGCAACCGACAAACTTCATAAAAAGCGTTGTTTCGAATGCCATATCCTCGACTCATTTTCACAGCTCAGTGAATTGCATGTTGACTGAGGCAAGCTTCTGTCATTCAAATTTAATCGAACATTGAATGCATGGCTTCGTCCCGCGTGTGCATTACTTTATTTTCCAGCGCTCTACCAAAGGAACCTAAATAAACTAGTCACGTGTGCCATGCAATTTCGAGCAGCCGATACGGCGCTTACTTCTATTACCGTTCAACGCAAAAATACACTCTGTGAAGAATATGGCAGGTTTGGCCTAAGAACAACATTCAATTTGGTTAGTGAAATCGACAGCAGTAGTCTTAGAACATTGATTTTTTGATCTATGCCTTTTTTTATGTGACAGGATTTTAATGAACATGCTCAAATCTCTCCGTCTTTCTCTACAGATCCTGTAGCATAAATGATCATTCATTCTCACATCAGTGTTCAGTGCCTGTTATTTCGATTTAATCAATAATTTTAGTTGAATAAATCGTATTATTATCATAAGTGTTTCGGTTTTTTGTCACTTTAAGGTGACTCAGATGATCCGATGACTAGAACACTTGTTTTCTCACAATGCTTCAATGAATGAGACAGCTGTTTCAAAACATAATTTAGTTTGATATAAATAGATTCAATCATTCCGTCGTTGACATATTGGATGTCATTTGATCAGTGTTGTGTCACGTTTCATTGTCGTATTTGTATTACCACTAAAAGGCTATCATGATGGAGGTTTACATAGAATCTATGCAAATTGTCAAGCAGTGCGGTAAGAACTAGTATGAGATGTATGTACTTCCGGTTGACCACCTTTAAATAGGATGAAAAATAGTGGTATACTTTGGTGCCAGACCTTCTTGTTGAACTGGTAAATGAAAGGAAATAACGCGATTGACCCAATAATGAACAATTTAACCGGAATACAGAGCGAATTATTCATCATCATACCGAGCGATTAAATGAGTAGATACACCGACCTCACAGTGGAACAGATTGGAATTTATTATCATTTTGTAGGTTGATCAGTTGAGCATTTTTATAAACCAAATATTCAAATATTCAATCACCGACCTATTTCAGTGGATTCAGAAATGAAAAAAAACGAATACTCCACTTGCATCTATAAATATATCCGACCGAAAATGTTCAATGAATGTGAAGTACTAATGATCCATTTTCCCTCCTCCAGTCTCGTTCTCTCCTATCGGTTCTCAATAAACTCAGTCAACGCGTACTACTGTGGCCATTGATTTTAATTTTGTACTTATATGATTGTTGAGCTTCTATGAGTATCTTTGCTTGAGCACACACACAACTACAGTTCAGTCTTTCCGACAAGAATCTAGTAAGTGTATAAGTTGTATCAAGTTGTCTTGACAACAACCCCTTTAGATAATTATATAGTGATGGTGTATTCAAACTAATGCTAAGGATCGTTCAAATAACTCATCATCAAATTTGTAAGAGACAAATAAACATCACTTTATTCTCCATGATGTAATATCAGATGTCCATATTTTGCTATAAGATTTAGCGAATGTGAAGTTAGTTCGTCAATTCCATTTACGAAGTATCGTAACATGTCGTCAGAATACGTTTATTGTATTTCAAACTGAGTTCAAGATTCCGTTGTTTTTTTCAATCAGTTTTTCATCCTTTATTTGGTCGAAAGTTCGGAAATGCTGTGAAGTGATTGGTGTGTGCGGTTTTAAATTTAAGTGATTGTACTGAATCATGTTAAGCGTGTGTTGAAGTAAAACGATGTGAGTTTACAGATTTTCGCAACTTGATATAACTTATGATATAAGTTGGATGATTACATTCGATGTTTTGTTGACTTGACTGTGTCAGCACGAGGAGAAGATCAATTACCTGAATATTACTAGATAGGAAGATAGATAGATCGATAGGTAGACAGAGGGATTGATGGATGGATATATAGATAGATAATTAGATAGCTGATTTGAAACGTGTATCACAATGATGATCAGTGGTCAACTGATAACTGATTACAACAGTGTACAATTTGCCACAACTACTTTTCTGACACCGTAGACATGTTCATGAATGCATACTTGTCAAAATACCGTAGATAATGAAGGAAATAAACGTAGGAAAAGGTATTTATATTCTTACATGATCTATCTACTGACTAATCGTCTCTACGTGTACCTAACATTTCAGTCAAATCATTAGAAAATGAAGGTCATGCTTTCAATCAGTGTTACTATTTTAACTGTGACGTCTTTAACATTCTGTGCAGTGACAAAAACAAATAACGAAAGCATCTGTCAAAGAACAAATTCGTGCATGTAAGCTTTTGACGTCGATGGAGAAGTATCAATTCTACTTGTAGATTCGACCCGAATGTATGGGAAAAATCGCGTGCAATGTCTGGTCTCGTTTTGATGTAAGTGATGAAAGTTGAAAACATTGAATCATATTATTGTGTATATCACTATTGTTGGTCATCTTTTGAACTGAGGGATCAACTAAATCACAATGAACGCATTTAAGTTGACATATTTGAACTTTAAAGACGTTTAGTGTTTGACCATCATGACAAATATTTACCAGGTTCTTTCATTGTAGAATTCTTTGATTATCCGCTCTATATATTTTCACATAAAAAACGTTGATCGTCTGCATCTCAGATCAGTTTTTGCAAATATGTTAGAGATGACTGGTAATGACGCGTACAACGATCACTGAAGCAATAAAATTTATTTTGTTGAACAATTTATTTTCACATTTTAGAGAAATCGCTCTTTTATTGGCACTCATCATTATACTCATCAAATCATTGCATACCTCGTCTCCAGAGAATAATATTGTCATGATTATAACCGTAAGTGGAACATGATTTCATATGATGTTTATGATTTGTCACATATTTTCATTCAGTCTTAGGAAATTTCATTTCGATTGGATGTTTGTTCAGATTTATTCTCATAAACAGTTATACTGACATACAATTCTGAGAACTTCATACAAATCGGACCTATTTTGATTCAGGGGTGAATTTGAAAATGATAATAGCCAAATGACGATGACAAATATGAGGTAAAGATTGAGCAATTATGATGAAAGACCGTATGAACATTTAGACAAAACGTTGAATAATCTATGGCTTCAAAAGCCGTTAGGATAAAGTCAATGAAGGTATGCACTGAGCAAAACTTAGTACTGTCTATAATATTATTACTTGATTCTTCAAGCTTGGATAATTTTAAAACGTTTGTTTTCACTGTGTGTATTTCATCATTTGATGCTCCGATTATAAATTGTGTTCAGCTGATAGTATCGCCCCGATTTCTCATTGTTTTCCAAAAGTCAGTCTAGGATATTCATAATGCTATATTACCCATGCACTGAATATGCAGATTTGTAGAAGTAGCATATCTCAGTATGTTTGTTACACCTGGATGAGCAACAGGTTACATAAATTTTATCGCCTAATCAAATTACTGTCAGGGATTATAATTGAGAGCATCGCTGGACCAGTGATTACTGTATTGACGTTTCCTGTTGTTAACGTCTTTCATAATGCAGTTACTAAAAAATTACACATTTGTCGTTTGTTTTTCAGATGATAATTATGACTATCGGTGTTTTATTATTGACCTCACCAGGAAGGTTGTATGAAAAGATTATTGCACCAATTGTGTCACTCCTAATAATGATTACGGCTTTTGAATTGGGTCAGCGAACGAAAGGTTCAGCAGGAAAATGGAGGAAACTGATATTTTTAGTTTGCTGTGCATTAGTCACAGTTGGAATCGTCTGCAGCATTTTAAGTATTATCTGTAGGAAAAATAAACTGAAAAAAGTACGTTGTCCTGTAGCACCGACTTCAGTAATTCAAAAGTGATTACTGATTTCATGTTGTATAATCATTACGAATAAAACTTTTATGTAACTATAACAAAATATAAAGAAAAACTGAAATGAACATATGCTTTATTTTTCTGTTATGTGTTAATACTGAAAATAAATCCATGTTTAATCGTCTGTGTACAACAACGCTTATTATTATGCAGCTTTTGTGCACATAACAATATTTGTAGGTTTTTGATATGCGTACTTCTTACTTGAAGCCACTGTTTCTTTCACTGAAGAAAGACCGAAAATAATATTAAACCAGCTTGACCCTACTATTTTTCAATAATTTCTTCAAATTACCATACAGAAAAAATACTTTTTAATGAAACGAAGTCGATTATCACTAACTAGATGTGAAGTTGCAGAGTTTTCACATTGCTAACAATAAATTACTCGAACTAACCTGCTAAAGTCAATTACAGTCGTGGTTATCGCAGTTAGTATTTCTGTGAATGTGAAAAAATGTTTTGGAATATCAAATCAAAATGTTCACAAAACTTTTCTTCCTTTTTACTCCAGAAAACATTTACAGATTTGTCGGACATTTGTGGGAGCTATAAAATGATTATAGTAAGCTTTTGATGACTTGTTGAAACTTTGAATGTTAATATATATATATATGTATATAAATATAAATATTTATATATATATATATCGTGATGACCCAACCGACCTACGTTGTCTAGAACATATGTTCCTCAAGTTTCTACCATGCTAGGCAGGTCGATTAAAGAAGGATGAGACTAAAACCAGTTACTCTTGGTCTGAGGGCGAGGTCGTACTGCTGACTGCAGAGGCGTGTGGCAGCAGTAAGTTGTTTATCTCGGACAACCAGCATTTGCAGCAATGCTGCCTTCTCACAAGGAAGGAAGGGTTAGAAAAGGTCCACCCTAAAAATGTCACACCTCACCCTACCTCACGAATTTCCGTTTCCGTCGGTAATGGTGCCCACTAAGGTCCTTTAGGAGCGGAGCTAATCCTCAAAAAACTTTTCATCAAAAGGCCGTGCGTGACCGGCCTCAAGCAGTTATCCCTTGGAATCTGCGGTCAGGCTCTCAGGTCTCCGAGACCAACACTAATCTATCTTCTTTTTCAGGTTCCTCAAGAAACAACCTTCCACTGTGTGGGCAGCCAGGAAGTGACAACCGCCTCAATACCTGTAACAGCACACGAGATCAAATTGTTCGAAATCAAATCGTTCCTTCACCCACACCCTCCAAAACTGACTCTACTCACATTCCCTTATCTGACTGAACCACTAATGTAGACGAAGCGAGTTCACAAAACTTATTTCGTGATCTCTATTGAAACCCCGTTCTGGACTACTTTTTGGAGCTTCTAATGTACGGACATTGGGCAACAGGCTTCATTAGCTAGGACTTTACAATCTCAAACCATGGATGTATGCTGTGTCTCAGAAACGCGCATACAGGATCCTAGTAAAATTAATATTAATTAGTTATAAATAATCTTGTCAAAATAAAGAAGTAGCTCGATTTACTCTTCGTGTATCTGGAAGCCATGATGCTGCTTCTGAGAGTTTTGCTGGCGTAGGCATAGCATTGAGCCGCTTGTGCGCTTTCCGACTAAACGGGACAATAAGGACTCGGATAGATAGGCACACTCGCCTTTACCTCTTCGTCGTATCTGCCTATGCCCCCACTGACTGCAGTTCAGACGAGGTTAAAGATGAGTTTTACAGAAAGCTTTCGGACATCATCTTGAAAGCTAGGCGCTCTGATATATTATTAATGGCTGGTGACTTGAATGCTCTAGTAGGTAGACCAAGTGAAAATGAAAGACACCTAGATGGATGTTAAGGTGTCGTGGCCGACAGAACAGACAATGGTGACCGCCTGTTTCAAGTATGCTCAGATAACCGGTTATTCCAAGCAAACACTAACTTTAGGCATATGGAAAAGCATCTGTTGACCTGGCGACCTCTAGAGTCGTCTCAACGTTGGACTCAACTAGATCGCATTGCATAAGCCACCTATTTAGAGGTTCGAAAGAGGTCTGTCGCTCGTTGTGGGGCATATGTTCCGATTCAGATCATGTCCTAGCGCGTACGAGTATCTGCTTGAGACTTATAGGGCGTAGAAACGACACCGTAGGAAAGCCAATCAGGGTTTTACTTAATGATGATCAAACTGAGAAAATATTTCAGCAGCAACTGGCAAGAGAGTTAATCAACGATGTAATCGTTTGGTTGGTATGATATCAAAATAGTTGTAGAAACAGCAGTGATATTTTCTAGTACGGTAAACCATAAGTCTAGGATGAATCCGTTGATCTCGATAGCATCTACCGAACTGATGGATGTTCGAAAACTCATCCCGCCTGGCTCTGAGGGCGAGGAGGAGCGGTGTCAGCTTAGACTTAGGCTGATAATATGCCTACGCAACGATCGAGAACAGTGGTGGGTGGCGAAAGCAAGAGCGATGAAAAAGGGAGCGGCGATAGGGAACAGAAGACAACTTTTCCGACTTATCAAGGAAACTAGTATTAGGAATCCTAGTGTAAGTGAGAATATTTCAGATGGTCTTATTATCCAATCTCAATCCAGGAGACTGGACCGATGGGCAGATTACTTTATGGATCAGTTCAACTCGCCTCGATCTCCCCTTCGGTTACACACGATCTACAGTCAGCCTGAATGTCAAAGCGAGGTAAGTCCTCCTAGTGTTCATGAAGTTAGGAAATCTGAAGCGAGGGCGAGCTGCAGGTTCTGATTGACTGATCCCTGAGATATTTAGGGAGGATGGTCCAGTTTTAGCAGCTGGGTTGACTACGATCTTAGGTAGGACCTGGGAACTGGACATAATCTCATCCGACTGGACTGAATACCTAATTGTCCCAATCTATAAGATAGGACAAAGGTCTTCTCAAGACAATCACAGAGGAATCAGTCTAACTAATATAGTACTTAAATGATTGGCCTCAATAATACTTCGACGCTTAACGAAAACTCGTGAAGAGCAAAGTCGAGGAAACCAGGCTGGTTTTCGACCTGAACGTGGTGGTTTAGACCACATCTATTAACTACGCCAGTTACTAGAACACGGACACACTTTAGGCGTCCAAAAAATATGTCTTCCTGGACCTTAAGACAGGTATTCGACTCTGTGGATCGTGGAGTTCTGTCGCAGTGTCTGTCATTACATTAACCTTATACAAGCTCTCTACTCGGAGACCACTGGTCGATTGAGAACTTATGGCGAACTTCAAGTGGTGTCCGTCAGGAATGTCCACTCTCTGAATTTTAGTTTAATTTTATGATACACATCCTCTTAGATATAACCTTATCCTCGTCTGAATTTTCTGGAGTAGACTTTCAACCAGGTGGCTCGCTTATTGTTTTAGAATATGTCGATGACAAAGTCCTACTTCTTGAAGACGCTGACAAATGCAGAGTCTTTTGACTACCCTAGGAAACAATGCAAGCATGTTCGGGATGCGGTTCTCACCTGTGAAATGTGAAACGTTGCTCCACGATTGGGTTGCATCGGCACCTGAACTAGTGATAGGAGAGTGACGCAGTTGTGCGTGTACACCGCTTCACTTATCTCGGGTGTCTCATCAGTGCTGATGGCCTGGTGACTGAGGAAATCTCAGCGCGGATACAGAAGGCTCGACTGGCTTTTCCCAACTGACGTCACTTATGGCGTTGGAGAGATATCCGTTCGCTGACTGAAGGAAGGGTGTACTGTTCAGTCATTTGATCCGTCTTACTTTATGGCTGTAAAACATGACCAGTGAGAGTAGAAGATATTAGCCGATTATTGGTTTTTGACAATAGGTGTCTTCGAAAGATTGCTCCAATATCCTGGGACACCCGAGTGAGCAACGCTGTTATTAGGAATCGGGTGTTAGGCAAGAATGGCGGATAAATAGATGAAGTTCTAAAACTTCATCAGTTGAGATGGTTTGGACATGTGCTGCGTATGCTTTACCAACGAGCCTCGT